TTAAATATAGCTTATTATCTATAGACTAATAATTAAATTAAAAAATTAAATAATATTTTTAAGCAGTACTTATAAAACTATATTAATTTTAAATAAAATAATTAAATAAATTTATTATTTATTATAAAATTTATATATAATAACATTTTATAAATCTTTATAAAGAAATTATTTTTTTATATTATTATCACAGAATACCTGCGAGTAATTAAAATAAATTTTTATAAAAAAAAAAAATAAAGATTAAAGTCTCTGAATAAATAAAATATATTTAAAATATTTATATTAAAATAGAAAAGAATCTAATTTTTATTTATAAAAAATAGAAATAGTTCTATAATTATAAAAAATAAATAAAAAAATTTATATTAAAAAAGATAATTTAACTATCTATAAAATATTTTTTATAAAAATAGATTAATAAAAAACTAGATTTATAAAATAAAGAATTTTATTATATTATTAAATAAATAGACTTATAAGTCTATAAATTAAAATTATTTATAAAATTATAAATATATAATATATTCTATATATTATTATTTTATAAATATTATATAATAAATAAAATAAACTTATAAGAGTATTTTCTTATAAAGAAAAATAATTATAAATATTATTTAAAAATCTTATTAATCTTATAGAGTTAAAATAGATTTTTAAAAATCTTAATTAAATAAAAAAATTATTCTAGTAAAAATAATATCTAATAATTAATTATAAATCTATATTATTTATAATTTTATAAGAAATTTATCTGTAAGTATAGTTTTTATTTAAAAAATAAAAAAAAATAAAATAATAAAATAATAAAAAAAATTATTTATAAGAATCTTTATCTAATTATAATTTAAAATATAAGATATAATAAATATTTATAGAGATAAAGATAAATAGATTAATTATATAATTTATAAAAAATAGATTTTATATCTAATTTAAATATAATTATTATATCTTTGTTTATAATTATTACTAATATATATTATAAATATTTTTAAATCTAAGAAATTATAATATATATTATATATTTAATTAAAAAAAGAAAATTAGTCAGCTCTAATTATAAAAATCTTTTTATAAAACTAAGTCTAGATTTTTAGCTGATAATAATTATTAAATTTAATAAAAAAATAGATTTTATTCTTAGCTATATAATTTAATATTTTTTTTAATTAAATAAAAATTATAATTCTGTTTAAAAAAAAAGATCTGATAGAATTATTAATATAATTATAAAAATACTAGTAAATTAGTTTATTATAAATAAATTTATAAATTAAGCTAAAATTTAGTTTATAATCTTAATATTCTATAAAATAGATTAATTCTAAATAAATTTAAATAAATTTTTTAAAGAAAAGAATAATTTATTTATTTATAATTTATAAATTACAGAAGTAGTAAGAATATTATTAAGTATAATAATATTATTATAATAATAAATTATAAAAAAAATATAAGAAGATAAAACTACAAGAAGTCAGATTATTTTAAAAATTTTAACTAATAAAATAATAGATTATATATAAATTAGTTTTTTATATTTTATAAAGAAAATAAATATTTATTATAAAAAAAGAAGATAAAAAAATTACAGCAGAAATAATAGTAATATTAATAATAATAATAATAATAATAAAAATAGCAGTAATAGTAATAGCAGAGATAATAATAATAATAATAATAATAAAGATAATTATAAGAGCAGATTACTCTAATTTTATATTAATTATAAGATATAAAATAAATCTTTCTAAGAAATTACTTATCACAGATATTCGTGAAAAAAAAAGAAAAAAAAAAAAAAAATAAATAAAACTTTAATAATAAAAATAATAATTTTTTTATAAAAGAGAGAAATAGTAAATATATAATATAAAAAAAATATTAAAATAATTAATTATAATCTTTAGAATAAAGTATATATATCTTAGACTTATAAAATAATAAGTATCTATAGCTAATATAAAATTATAAAGTATTATATTTTATAATTTAATATAAATACTTTAGATCTATAAGAGTGAAATAAGTAATAAAAATATAAAAGAGCTATAAAAATATAAAATAGTCACAAAAGTATAAAAAAATTATAAAAATATAAAATAGCTATAAAAATATAAAATAGCTGCGAGAGTATAAAACAGCTGTAAGAATATAAAATAATTATAAAAATTCTTTAAATAAGTATTTATTTATAATAATAATAATAATTAGAAAGAAGAGACCGCAGAGATTAAGAGAAGAAAAAAGATTAAAAAATAAAATAAAAAAAAACTTTTAAAAAAGATATTCTTTTTTAGAGTTCTAAGTTCTAGAGTGGATTTTGGTTGAAAAACAGGTTAAAAACCAAGCTTTTAAAATCTATATTTAAATAAATATTTTATTATATATTAATATTTTTAAAATATAATTAAACTTAAGTCTTATTTATATTTATATTTTATATTTTAAATATAGTCTAGTATAATTAAATTATATTTAATATATAATTAATTAGTTTTAGAATATTTTAATTAGTTAATTTTTAACTATTAAGTAATATAATATATTAATAATATATTAAATAATAAAAATATATATATAATATAGATTTTATATTTAATAATATAAATTATAATATATAAAATTATATAAAGATTTATATAATATTTTATTTTTATATCTGTATCTATATTTTTTAACTGTTTTGCTTAAAACAGTTAACCGTCAGGTTAAAAAAATCCACTCTACTAAGTTCTAAGCCCCAAGTTCTAATTTATATTTAAATTAAAAATATTATATTGAAATTAATAATATTATATTATATTTATTATTTAATTATAATTATAGAAATACTTGCTATATTTATTATTTATAATATTTATTATTTAATTATAATCACAGAATCTAAAGTATAATAAATAATAATATAATTATAACTATATAAAACAGCCGCAGTAGATTTATATAAAATAGATATTATAAAAATAAAAGAATTATTATTTTTTTAATTAATTTTCTTATAAAGAAGATTTTACAGCAGAGATTTTAATAATATTTAATTTTTTATAAATAATAATCTTAAAGATTAAGATTCTAGAAAAAAAAATAATTATAAAAATAATAATTCTTGTAATTCTTATAATATAATACATTATAAGAAATATTTATATTATAAAAATAATCTTTTACAAAATAATTATACTAGTATAGTATATAATTTATAGAATTCTTATAAATATATCTATCTATAATAAAAGCTAGATAAAAGATTAGTAATAATATTTTAAGTAATACAGATATTATCTTAACTTTATAATAGATATTCTTTCTTTACACTACCTCAACACATATCCTTATACAGTACTATTAGAAGCTGTAAAATAGTTAAAATTAAAATTAATTATATTTAAATATTAATTATACTTAGTTTAAATAATAAATAAATAATAAAAAAAATAGAAAAAGAGAAAATTAAAAAAATATATATATTTATATATATATACTAATTAAATATATTAATTAAATAGACTAAATAATAAAAATATAATAAAAAATATATTATATAAATAAAAAATTTATTATTTTTTTTATAAATATTAAATATATTTTTAATATTTTTTATATAATTTTATCTTTTTATAATTAAATATATATATTTAATATATAGTATTATAATAATAAATCTTTTATAATTTAAGATTATATTTATATTATTTAATATTTTATTAAATATAATTTTTATTTATATATACTTTAGCTTTAATAAACTTAAAAAATTAGATTTTTTAAATATATAATATAGCTTTAGTAAACTCAAAAAAATAAATTCTAAATTTTAATTAATTTTATTATATGAAAAGCTAATCAAGACTCAGAAATCTTATCTATAAGATATCTAACTTTCTGAGTCTGCTGTAGAGTGGATTTTTTTAACCTGATGGTTAATCATTTTAACCAAAACAGTTAAAAAATACAGATACAGATATAAAGATAAAATATTATATAAATCTTTATATAATTTTATATATTATAATTTATATTATTAAATAAAAAATCTATATTATATATATATTTTTATTATCTAATATATTATTAATATATTATATTATTTAATAAAAAATTAATTAATTAAAATATTCTGAAACTAATTAGTTATATATTAAATATAATTTGATTATATTAGATTATATTTAAAGTATAAAATATAAATATAAATAAGACTTAAGTTTAATTATATTTTAAAAATATTAATATATAGTAAAATATTTATTCAAATACAGATTTTAAAAGCTTGGTTTTTAACTTGTTTTTCAACCAAAATCCACTCTAGTCTGCCGCAACTTTTTCTGAGTCTGGCTGAGCTGTAACCCCAAACATGCTCTGTAGATCGCTTTCAATACTGTTGCTACCTTACCCATATATGGACAACATATGACTCAACCGATTCCAATTTTTCATGTTAAGATATTAAAGAGGTTGTACCGAGTATTTTATATTGGATCAAGTCTCATACAGTGACACTCCAAATGGACGGTTTTATTTTCTCTATTCCGCCCCCATACTGTATTAATTATAAGTCATTAGGCTTTCAAAAGCCTTCAGGATAAAGAAACATCATCGGGTCATATTTTAACCGCTCATCTTCTGTCTGCATTGCCGGTGGTTTTGCAGAGTGAAACCTTCTCTAAGACATGACTTCTTTTGTGGTTGGTAAGAAGCGTGATGGTCATAGAATTGAATTTGATATATTTCTTCACACCAGATAGAGATAAATTCTAGTGGTTTCCTGCTTTGATCTTTGGAGCAAATTAGGTGTTTACAAATTAAAAATTTGTTTTAACAAAATGGCGATTAGAAAATTCTCAAGATATTTGGAACGGACAATGGGTTCCATGAAAAATACACGGAGCAGAGATGAAAACATGAAAGCAGGAGCCTGGAAGACTAAGATTTAGACACCTTGGCCAAAAAGCGGTTTAAAGTCACCCAGGAAGTTGAAGTATCCAAATAGATCACATTACAACACATTTGTTTCCTCCTGTAGGTTGCGATGGGTTTTGCGATCTTTCAATCTCCCCAATCATCAAATCAAATGACTTTGCAACATTATAATCCAGGCGGGCACTAGCCTCGGTAAATGCGCAGTCAAACTCCTCCCCCAACTGCCGGCCTTCATCTGGCGATACCTGGCGTTGTTCAACTTTGAGATCACTTTTATTGCCGACAATCACAAGGGGTACATGATCAGCACCCTGCAGTTGATGTCAGCCATATGTAAAGCATTTATCGTCAAAACATGAACACTCACAAGATGATTCAAAATCTTATCACGTATGACTCTTACCATGTCGAACGATTGGCGAGAAGCCACCGAATAGGCAATGATATATCCATGTATTCCAATGAAATGCTTCGAGTTCAATATACTGTACTCGTCCTAGAACAGGATTAGCTCATTAGGAGCTCCAGTTTCGCGTCCTTTCTTTCTTTTCCTTACTTGACCGGCTGTGTCAACGATCTCAGTCGCATAATCTTGACCATTGTATTTAATGATTCGGCTGAATGTATTTTCAATCGTCGGATAGTAGCTTTCTACAAAATGATGTTCAACAAATCGAACTGTAAGAGAAGATTTACCTAGAAGAGACGTTAGTATGCAAGATATTAAGGGCTGAGATCGGAGACCCAAGCAAGTAGAGCTTATCAATAAGTCATACCCACAGAGCGACTGCCAACAATAGCTATCTTCCGTTGCTTCGGGGCACTAGGCATCTTTCTTCAGATACAGAGTAGGAAAGTGGCTACCAGTTAGAAAACAATGGTAACAGGAGGTTGTTGGTGAGGCTAAATAAAGCGTGTTTGAGCGACAAGTAGAGTCAGCTACCTGATAACATTAACAAGTGCGTAATACTAAGAAGCAGAGTACTAAGTTCAAAGCACCAATGTGTTTAACCCGCTGCTTTCCTTATGACATGATGACAATTGAGTAGATGAGCTCACCCGAGAGTGGCAAACAGTTGGGTGCGCAAACAAGTCAAACGCTCAGTCATGCTATTATGTCAGGGCGGGGTGAATAAGACGCAGTTAGTTAAGCACTCCGTCCGTACAGAGTACTGTTTGCTATGTTTCCCTTCAGCCCCAAGAGCTGGTATGGGTATATTATTGTTGTTTTTACGAATTGCCTTTGTTTGTACGACGTGAAAGATTTTGATCTGGCTGTCTACTTAGTCTTCACTGTCAAATTCTTAGATATCCAAGATTTCTGACCCTTGCAGCTGGTGCAACCTTGGCCGACGGACATGGAGAGGATTACTTAGTAAATTGAGATACAATCATAACAAACCACTATGCATAAGACAAAAAGCGAATTGATCTCAATGTATATTAAAGTATATTAGGGCCTAAAACTGCACAAGGTGCGTCGTTGCTAGACATGGGCATTGCCCCGTATCTGGCTTAAGATATTCTTCATGCGCGTTGTAGGTCTAATTCCCCCTTCGCCCTGGGTTTCACAATTGTGCGAGTCTTGCTCAACCATTTGATGATGCTGCAAAAACTCTTCAGCCGTCGATAAGATCAGGGTAAGGCCTCTGCCGCCCATTGACACTTTGATCAGAGAGAAAGCGTCCTGGTTGAGGCACAATGTGACCAAGACAATAGACAAATAACCAATCACAACATTGTAGTGTACATCGGAAACAGAACCCATCTATCTTGCATTAGCTGGAATGTTTCGCTTTTGAAGTTTTAGACCCTACCTGCTTCACATATGAAAGCCCGGCAGAAAAATGCTGTAGAAGCAGTTGAAGCAAAGACATGTCATTTTGAGCTGGTTTTAGAAAGGAAGCTCGAGACATTTCGCTTTGTTCTGTTAAGTTAATTAGAATACCCAAAGCTAATATTACAGCATTGAATGAGTTGTTTTCATCCTTGCTGGAATCTTCGGGAACATCGGGAAATTCTGCCGTCGCGATTTTGACAAAGTTGAAGACCATCTCAGGGTTAGCCATTTCTTCGCATAATGAAGGGTGATTATTGGTAAGATTCAAAATCACTCTGGTATATAACGTCGAAATTTGATGGTTTCGATCATTCTGGTCAAACCCGATGAACCTATCATGGTGTTGAAAAAGCAACCGAAAAGAATAAGGCTGTTCATAGCCTAAGACGCCCGATAACATTGTGTAAGTCTCCAGAACCAAAAATGCCGCTTCCATCAATTGCGAGCCATCGGGAGATACTGAACCATTGGACTTCTCGCTTTGTGAAAGTGGCAATTCGATGATTTGATTCAATAAAGGAGCTGGTATTGCTCCAATACGGTCACCCTTTATGAGAAAGGTGGCGAGGCAAAAGTGAATGCACGAGAGAGTCACTAAACAAGGAGAAAGTTGTGGCGATACTTGTCGGTCAATAATGACAGAAGAAATCTGTCCTAGAGCTTTCTTCAATGTTCTCTGAACGGTTTGAGATAGGTTGGTAGCTCGACTTGCTGATAAAGACAATATAGAGTCGTTGTTAGTAAGAAGTTCTGGAGAAAGCCATAAAAGTTTGACCCAGAAAGATCTTAGGCTCGTGTAGGAGGAAGAAGCATCAAGATAGATCAATCTGAAGGCACATAGAGCTAAGGATGCTGAAACAATATCCTTGTTGCTTGCCATGCACCTGATAAGTCGTTCATTGAAGCCATGTTCTGAAAAACGCCGAACAAAAGCAGGTTCAGAAAGCTTAACACATAGCTGCGCCAAGCTGCTCCATGTCCCAGATGGCGAATTAGACGAGTCCTCAATATCTTCAAAAATTGCTTCAACTGACTCCCGAAAGCGGGCATTGTCACCAGCTTGTCTTAGCTCATATATGCTGCGAACAGGTCGGGGGTTGCCATCCTCTTCATCGTCAGAAACTGAAGTTGGCCTGTCATTCAGATGGGTGGTGCACGTTTGACCCGCCCCCCTAGACTGTAGGAGAGTAACTGGAATCCCTCGATGTTCACTTGAAGCCATGCTCGTAGGATCACCCAAGAATGACCGCTGGCGCGCATATGTAACCTTAGAGCTTCGCAATTTGGACAAAACGGGAGCATTTGATTTATAGGCCTTGTCTGTGCCAGAATGCTTTGGATCATCTGTGGTTAAAGTTGGATTCGGCCAAGGGACATCAGTTTTAATCGGAAGGTCGGAGTCTCGAAAGCTATCAGCGGACGCCAAGCCATATTTTGTCGGTCTTGAGGTAGTTGAATGACCCGAAGAACCAAGCAAATCAACCAGTCTCTTCCTATGAGAGACTTTGCTCTCACGGGATTTAGCCATTGACAAAATATTTGGTCCATGTGTCCAATCTTCAAGAGCCAAATCTGGGCTCAATTCATCCCTGGGGTTGACGGACTCTTGGTGATGAGATTGCTGCAATTTTCGCAAGCTTGGGATACAGGAAGAGTCGTGCTCTTCAGTTTCAGCAGCCACGGCTAGTGGACAGCGGCTTTCTTCCTCTTCCTCATTTTCGAACTCTGGAAGAACAGGTGTTGTGAGATTGTCTATACCCGGGGACTTATAATAATTACTCCCACTATGCACAGCTCCAGGATCAGTCACGTTTGGGAGATAGTCATGGCGGGGGTAAGTGTTATAGCGGGATGGTTGGATTTTGTCCAACCTTCTCTTTTTCCTTTTGCCGGGTTCAAGCTCGTGCGTGTTGGTGTCTATGGGGGCATTAGACTGCTGGTCTCGGCGTCGGGTTGTGGGTCCGCAGATTTTCTTTCCGTCAGACCTGCGCTCACTTGCACACTGAGGTGCTTGCAATTGAGTATTAGGGGAAGCCCTGGTAGTTGAGCGGCGAGACATCCTCGAGTCTCCTGTGAGAGGAGTCTGATGAGACATCGTCGTAGCGTTGTTCCGTCGAGTCCACACCAGCGACTGCTCAACCGTGGTAGGGACTATCAGAGACTCGTTCAATGATTAGGATATGATGCTACCAAACATATCGTTAGAGAAGTGGATGTGAAACTGCAGTCACTGATTAGTCAGTAGTTGTAACTAGAAGATTAGATCCCGTACAGTCATACAGATGTATATTCTTGTAGGTGGATACGACCTGTACTTTGGTAGATAGTACTCCGTACATGCAGTAAATTATATATCCAACTACTACTACTACCTTAGTACTCTGTACTACTAAATAGAGACCTTCTGCAACGGTCATTTACTATTAACATTTCAATTCAAAATCGGGTATAGCGGCCCGCCCCTAGTAATCAACTATAGAGTTATTTAAAAAACAATTACAACTGACTAATCTGCTTAATAAGATAAAAATATTGTTATTGATATAATGCAGCTGTGAACACAGGTCACGGCAGCACTTTTTTAGGGTGGTGTAGAATACTCACTGTGCATGTGATACCAAGACTATTAATAAGCAGTTTTTATTCTTTATTATTCTATAAATTACTGTTTTTAATTATTAAAATTTATCTTTCTCTTATATTTCTACTATTTTATTATATATAATATTTAAAGTACTTTTTAACTACTTTCTAACTATTTATAAATAATAGATTTTTCTAATATAATTAAACTTCTTTTTTGTATAAGCAGTAAATAAATATTCAATAAGTAATAATACTTATATTCTTGAGTTAAGTACTTGGGCCATGATTATAGATATAAAAGAAAAGAGAAGATAATTAGTAATAATAATATATAAAAAAAATAAAAGAGATAATATAAAATAAAATTTTAAATCTGTGTGATAAAAGATCGCGTGAAAGCCATATAATCAAACTGCTTACTAAGCTGGTTTCATTCCACGCGATGCTAAAAACCGACATAGCCGGTCTGCAACCACGATGCAGCTAGGTTTGCAGATGGAGAGTTGTTCTATCTCTGGCTTACTAAGAATAAAATATTATTATTCTATTTTTAACTGAGTAAGTATATATTTTAGTAAATTTTTAAAAAGAATATATTAGTAATTACTAGATAGAAATTTTTAAGTATTTAGATTATTAATATTATAATTTTAAAAAATATTATTTTTATTTTTTATTAACAATTTATATTTATATCTTAGATTATATATAAAAAAAAGTATCTAAAAATCTTTATATTTTTAAAAAAATTATTTTATTAATTATAAGCCTGATTTTACTAATTTATTAAATTATTTTAAAATTTATATTTTAAAAAGTCTATATTTATTTAATATTTTATATAAATTATTTAATCTCTTTTATTTATATATCTTGTTAGGGGTGGAACCCATAAGCTATAAAGAACTGAGTCTGTATATATAAGAAGAAATAACTAATATTTAGAAAAGAATTCTTAAGAATTTAATAATTTTATATATATATATAACTTAGCAGAAATTAATCTAATAAAATAGATTAATTAAATTTAATAGCTCTAAAATATATTCTATAATATTATTTTTTTTAAAAAAATCTAATTAATAATCTCTATCTATTTATTTTAATTTTATAATTTATTTTATAATAATTTTATTATTAGTTTAATTTTAATATTATTTCTAATTTATTCTAATCTTATTCTTAGCTTATATTAATCTTATTTATATTTTAGTCTTGAGTATTAAGATAAAGCCCAGAGATATAATTACTTAATTTTTTTTTTATCTTTCTTTTATATTTTTCTTATTCAGCTAATTTAAGAATAGTAGTAAAACAGAGTCTAAAAAAATATACATATCTATTTTTTTTTTAATTTTTTTATTCAGCTGACTTAGAAAAATAATAAAAATAATTATTATTTTTGAATTAGTAAGAATTTATTCACTATAAGTTTATTAATTCTTAGTACTATCTTATTTTTAGTAATAAGACAGAGTCTGAAAAAATATAAACATTTATTTTTTTTTTCTATTCTTCTTATTCAGCTAATTTAAAAAATAATAAAAATAATTATTATCTCTGAGATCAGTAAGAATATAATAATTATATATTTATTAATTTTTAATATTATTTTACTATTAGTCAAGATCTATTATTAAGTAGATCTCTTAAATTCTTTATATATAATAGACAAGAGAAATAAGAATATTTTCTTTTATTATTGATTAAGATTTATTATTAAATAATTTTCTGTGACTTTCTATACATAATAAATAAAACAATTAAGTATAATTTCTTTATTATAAATTATTCTTAATAATCTTGATCAGCAAAGTCAGTGACTATTAATAAAAAGAAATAAATAGAAGATATTTATTAATTCTTTTTTTTGAACTTTTTTTTCTTTTTTATAATTATCTAATTTTAATAATAATTAGTCAAAGTTTTTATTATATTTACTATATAAAATAAATTTTATATTATATTTAAAAAGAAATTCTATTATAGAATTTTATTTATAAATATTTAAACTATTTCTTCTCCTAAAAATATATATAATATTAAAAGAATATATATATACTGCTATTAATATCAGATCTTCTTAATTTTTTAATAACTAAGCTTTAGAAACTAATTTATATATATAAAATAATTCTCGCAGATAATAAATAGATTCTTTATTAATTAATATAATATTAAATAATTAATTAACTTAAATTAAAAATATATAGAATTAACAGCAGTACTAAGAATTTTATTATTCTTTTAAAAAACTTTAAATATTTATTAATCTATTTATTAAATTATTAATATTTTTTTTAAATTAGCTGAATATAGTCTATACTATTTTTTTTATTTATTTTTTTATTATCTATAAAATCTATAAAAGACTTTTATAAAATCTGTTATAAATAATTTTATAGTTTTCTTTTTCTTTCCCTTTTTTTATATCTAGAAATAAAAAAAGATAACAATAATATTAATTATAGATCTGAATAGATTAAAGAAAACTATTTTATAATTTTATTCAGAAGTTCTTTTAGTTATATATAATAAAAATATTTTATAAAGTTTTAATCAGCTCTTAAATAATCTAAATATATCTGATTTATTTAATATAATAATATAATCTTTATTCTTACTCTTTATATTACTATATCTTATTTAAAATTAATTTAATTAGATACTTATTCTCTTTTTTAATCTAAATAATAAAAAATTATTAGTTATTCATTTATTTTAAAAAAAATCTATCTATTGCTGCTAATTATAGAAAGTTTATACAAAATATATTATAGATCTTAATAGATATATTTAATTAAATAAAATAAATTTCTAATATCTCTATAATAGTATATTTTATATTTTTTTAATCTATTTTTTATTAAATTATTTAATAATAATATATTATAAATTTAACTAAGATATATTATTTTTCTGATATCTGAGTATAAATATTCTAAGTTTATTAATCTATTTCCCAGCTTTTTATTATATATATATAAATAATATTTATATTTAATTACTAGCTTTTTTAATTATATAAATAATAGCTTTATTTATTTATACTAAGCTCTTCAGAATATTTTTATATAATATTAATCAATTCTTAGTCAGATTAAATAAAAATAAATTATATCTATAACTAAAATAAAAGAATAATATTTCTATAAAAATAGAGATTTATAAATTAATAATTAAATTTATAAAAAAAAGCTAAATTAAGTTATATTAATTATATTATATATATATTCTTAGATAGATCTTAATTATATTATTTATTTATTTAATAGTTTTACCTATCTAAGAATGATAAGCAATAAAGATTGAAGAATTATCTTTTAATTTTTATAAGATTATATAATTATTATTATACTTTCTTTATAAATTATCTATTATAGTCTGAAATAATAGATTATAATATCTTATATTATTAAATATTTTAATTCAGAAGTATTTATATAATAGTCTTAATAATTATTTTTTTTATAATTATTGAAATCATTTTTTTAATTAGATAGTTAATATTTATAAGAAGATTGATATATTCTTTATTTTCAGATAATTTAATAATAAGATTTAAATTAATATTCTGTCAGATATATTTAAATATTAAAAAAGATTTTAATAGACTATATTTTTATCTATATTAAATATAAAATCTATAATAAGTATTATAATTTTATATAAATCTCTAAATATTTTTTCTTATATTAGATTAAAAATATTTATATAAAATTATCTTATAAATCTATATTTATTTTAAAAATTTTGATAAAAAGAAATTATATATTTTTTAAATTAGTCTAATTTATAGACTCAAACTTTAATATTTATTTATATTTTTTTAAATATTAGCATTTTTTGATTATTAATAAAATATTTAATAATAAAAATCTGGAATTTTAAATTAAAAAAAGATTTCTGTATATTCTAGCTAATAGTTATTCTAATTTCTTA